AATGACTTCGCTCTTCCGTGAGTCCTCTCCCCCATTTCTATATCGGTTCCCTACACTATTCAAGCTAGCCTTAGAATTACCACTAGTGCTCTTCGGGGTACTTGAAGTTGACCTAATGTTTCCCTTCTTCTGGTTAGGCGCCCTCTATGAGGAGGAATCCATTAGCCTTTCAGCTGCTGCTATACCACCTAACAAGGTATCAATTTTCTAGCGCCATATCTCCCTTTAGGCCCAATCCTTTAGACCTCGCATGAAGTTGAATAGTCGGTCTTTCTCCGACATGTCATGAATCTCCAACATGCACGCTGAGTATTCCTTCACATACTCCCGAATAGAGTTTTTGTGTTGCAAGGTCGCCAACTTGGTACGGGCCACAAATTCAGTGTTCTCTGGGTAAAATTGGGCTATGAGCTCCTTCTTTAGATCCTCCCAAGTATCTACCGACGTCCTTTTTGATTGTTTGTAAGCATACTTGATTCGCCACCAGAGCTTCGCATCATCCACCAAGTACATTGTGGCCGTGTCGACTTTAAGATCATCTTCCAATTAACATATGCAAAAGTATTGTTCTATATCGAAGATGAAGTTATTAACGTCCTTAAAGTCTATCGTTCCATTAAAGGTCCGAGGTTTAGGAGGTTTTATCTTACTTCCACTTCCCCGAGTCGTCTTTGGGCACGCATCAAGGTAGCACATTTGTCTTGAGCTTCGTCCGCTACTCCTTAAACAAAATTGAGCTACTCCGTCAACCCATCCACCGTTGACTCAAGCTAGTCTATTTGTTCAGCTTGCTTTATTGCTATATCTTCGAGCTTAAGTACTTTTTCTTCGAGTACAACCCAACATTCCGACTTTCCATCGAGCCAGGCAATTCATTCTTTCCATGTATCAGCATATTCAGGCATCTCCATGTTGGGCAACTTTAATAACGAGCCTCGGCTCTGATACCAACTGTCACGGTCCGAGTGTTATGACCCCGGATTGTGCGTTGCGCCCTTGTCTATTGGCGAAAAATGACACAAGCCTTAAACAAGAGAGGTTCGTGAGCACACAGCAACATGGACCAAAGGTATCTCAAGAAAGCACACGTCAACAATGGGTGCGGAGTTGGGACTTGTGACGGCCGATACTTTAAAGCGGGCACAAGCGGAACCGACGAGATAAAGGCGTCTTTTGAGGGTCTCTTGGTTTGGTGGGGATGCTTTAAAACAAGGAAAGAACAATATATATAAAGGCTTAAAACAACACACAAGTCTTAAAGCAATAGCAACGGGGTAGGGAGCTTTGATTCATTAACCATCACTCCCTAAAGAGCTTTATATTGAATAAGGAGAGAATTACAAGTGAACGCTAAAACGACAGTAACACAATAATTCTCCCTAGAGTCTAGAAAGCGAAAAGAAAGACTTAAAATACACTATATAAGGGAAAATACAAGGAAAAGGGAAGGGGATACATAAAGAAAGAGGCGGATTATAATACAAAGCTAGGCGCTACTATCTCCCTAAGAACGTAAGGTACATTGATGGGTTTGCAAATGCTAAAAATCACATACACGTTGATTTGGTTAACTTAACGATATGAGTAAGGGGTCCTTACATGTCGCGGAAAAAGAGATAAATTATCACGGGAGCATTAGATGCGACGATTTATCAAATCAAGAGTGGCTTAGAGTCATTAGGAAATAGTTGCTTATCTTAGAGTAATAAGTGTTAATAGAAGCCAAAGCATGCTTAACCACTTATTGATTCCTTGGATCTCAGAATTGCCTTATTCTCACCAAATAGGGACAATTTAATGTGTGAATAAGACGTTTGAATAAGTTTGGAATTTGCATTAATGCTTTAAAATTCAATCTTATTTAGTATTATGAATAAGACGTTTGAAGACTAATGATAAGAGCAATCAATTGGAATCAAAGAGCTATCTCCTAATTGTTAAGCTAGGGTTCACTATGAAAAACAAACTAAGAGAATCACAATCCAAACCAATCAATAATTTCAATTCCTAAATCAATTGGTCGTGTCATTAGTAACTACAATGCAATCTAGCGTAATTCTCAAGGCCTACTCAAATTACACACATGCAAACCATCATTAATCACTTTAATCTCAACAATCAATCAACACAATTCCCAAATTAATCACACTCAATCAATCATACAAGTTTCACTCAATTCCTAGCCACACAACTATTCAAGAATCATCTTATATCAACTAACAACTAAGGAAATTAAGAATCAACAATATATCAAGAACAACTACACCAATCAAGCATCAAACATCAAAATCAAATCAAACAAACATGAAATTAAACAAAGCAATAAGGTGAGATAGAGTGAGAACTGCTCATTGATTGATTAAGAAGATCTTCAACACAATTGTCACCATTGAATCTTCAACCTCTCAAACCACCATTGAATTTCCAAGGGTCCTTATCACTCCAACCTAACCCATCCTTGTACGTTCAATCTCACTAGTGAATGTATGCCAGAATTTCAATTCTATGGAAAATCCGGCAGCATCTCCCTACAGTTCCCCAAGTACACAATATAGGCGATTAGAAACACCTATATATGTACCTAGAGAACATTGTAAAGAAATGACAAGCAAGGATCTTCCTTAGAATTAAAACAAAGGAATACATTCACCACCTAAGTGAGAATAAACGTACAAGGACAGTCCCAACCGGGGACCATTCAAGACATACTCCTAATGTGTATGCCTTGAACGGGTATCTAGGTATATTATTATGCAAATAATTTTTTTAAAAATATATATACTTAACTAACATACATAATATTAAACAAATATATCAAGATTAAACTAAACAAGAGAAACAAATCAAACCAAACCAAAGTAAACTAATAATCATATTAAACTAAACCAAACCAAACTACCGTTTTATATATTAAATTAAACTAACATATTTCTGAAAAAACTAAACTAAATTAAGATACTTTATATTAAAATAAATTAAACTAAACACATTATATTAACATAAAATTAACTAAACTACATTATGTTAAACTAAACTAAACCAAACTAACATTGTTTTTTTTAAAGACAAGGGAGCAATTAATTAATTATAAGATTTATTTAAAAATATATATACTTAACTAACATACATAATATTAAACAAATATATCAAGATTAAACTAAACAAGAGAAACATATCATAACACCATACTATTAATATAAACAAAATCAAACCAAACCAAAGCAAACTAATATATCATATTAAACTAAACCAAACCAAACTACCGTTTTATATATTAATTTAAACTAACATATTTCTAAAAAAACTAAACTAAATTAAGATACTTTATATTAAAATAAATTAAACTAAAACACATTATATTAACATAAACGTAACTAAACTACATTATGTTAAACTAAACTAAACCAAAATAACATTATATTGTTTTTTTAAAGAGAAGGGAGCAATTATTTAATTATAAGAGATGACCAATGTCACTAAATTAACCAAACTAAAAGTTATTGAATACATTCTAATTATAATCCAACACACTATCTAACAACCAAATTAACATACACACATACATTATATTAGGGTTCGTAATGTAACTAACCTTTAGATCTGCACTTCTTTTTAACAATTAAACCAACAAAATTGCACAAATCCTACAACAAAATTAAAAAAAATAATAATTAAGGGTTTATAAGTAAACAAAATTAGATTGAAAAAAAAGGGGGAAAGCAAAGACAACTTACTGAAATTTCAGGGGACGGAGGTGTGGCGTCGCCGGAAACAACCACGGCCATGTGGTTCAGTCACGGCTAGGGGATGGAGGTGCGGCGCATAGGCTGCGTTGTGGTGGTTAAATGTTAGCCGGTGGTGGTTTTTTTTTTGCAAAATTAAAAAAAAAAAAAATTACCAATTGCACACACTTACCTAGACGCGGCGGCGTCACCGGAAACCACCAAGGCCGTTCTTTCTTCCTCGACAGCTCTCCCTTCCTCCTTATCTTTCTCTTTCTCGTTCTCTTTCTCCTCTCTCTCTTTCTTTCACCCTTCTTTCTCTCTTTCGTTCTCGGCGGCGGGTGTGCGTCGACGGCAGGCGTCGCCGGCGTAATTGTTAAGCGCCGCCGCGTCTTTCTTCTCTCTCCTTCTCCTTCTCTCTCCTTCTCTCTCTCCTTCTCCTTCTCTCTCTCCTTCTCCTTCTTTCTCTCCTTCTCCTTCTCTCTCTCCTCTCGCTCCTTCTCTTTCTCTCTCTGCGTCTTTCCCCCTTTTTTTAGGTCAAGGAACGAATTTTAATTTTCAAAATTAACAATGAACTTCCGACGGAAATAAATTCCGTCGTAATTATAACTTCCGATGGAATATTCCGTCGCAAATCACTTTACGACGGAATATTCCGTCCGAAGTTTATTATTACGACGGAATTTATTTCCGTCGGAAAATTTACGAGTGAAAAGGCATCGTATTTAAAATTTTCCGTCGCTAAATTGCGACGAAATGTTTTCTGTCAAAAATATCCACCTTAACGACGGAAAAACAGGTCCGTCGCAAGTATTCCGTCGCAATTTAGCCTATTTCTAGTAGTGGAAATCCATCACTTTCTCTCTCTAAAACTACTCCTAAAACTAGCCCTAGATCTAGATAGAGAAGCTCTCAACTAAGCTAAGAAATATGTGGTTTAATTCTAATTCTAATTGTTCCCCTAAATTCACCCCAAAATGGGTATTTAAGCTAAGCTAAGAAAAAATAGAAAAATAAAATAAGGGGAAAATAGAATAAAGAAAGAAAGAAAGAAAAGAAAAGAAAACTAAAGAAGAAAATAAGAAAAGGAAAAATAACTACTACAAAAGTGACCTTAGGTAACACCAAACGGTATCACTTTGAAAGTTAGAATCTTAACTAATTTATAAGTAACTCATTTGTAACACTTTAATATCACGTAACACTTGATTGTAACACTTTGATATTAAGTAACACTTGATAGTAACACTATGATATTAAGTAACACTTTATTGTAACAATTTTTTTTTTTTTTTTTTGTGCATTTTTTTCTGGTCCCTTTTCTTTCAATTCAAACCCTAATTCCTAAAACAATTTTGATACACACAAATTTCTCAATATCATATCCAGATCCCCAAATTTCCCTTCTTCCATTTCCAGCTCCTTTCCCTCTTTCCATGGTTGACGCTAGCTTAGGGTTTTTAGTAGAAAATTGATGAAATATATACAGAAATTTAATGACGGTGGAGAAGATCAGAGGGAGGGTAGAACATATTTGTACGATGGGAGAAGGGAGCTGGTGGTAGTGGTGGTTCCCGATTTAAGTTGTATTGTCTTGGTATCCGTCCCCGTTCACCTCCTCGCTCGCCTCACCTTCTCCTAGAGAAGCTTAAGAAATCAATGGCGGCAACAGAGTTTGAACAAGTGAGGAGATGATCGATGATTTAGAGGAAGACTAAAATATCGACGGCAACTCAAACACCGTAAAACCCAGCATAATTAATAGTAACCAGACCAGTCTTCTTTGCTCAAAGTTTGATTTGATTGTTTGATTATTGAATTGAATTGATTTTTATTGATACTTGATTCTTCTCTGCAGATTTTGGGTGAAGTGGATTGTATGCTTGACATGGGGTTTGAACAAGATGTTTGTTCTATATTGAGCCAAACAAGCTCTTGTATGTTATGATTTCATGTCTGCCTAAATCTCTATGCTTCTTGTTGAAAATTCAATATTCTTTGTCTAGAACTTTGCAAATATGACGGTAAAAATAATTAAAAGCATTAAGTTACTGTGCTTTGCATGTCATTGTTCCAAAATATAGAAAAGCAATAACTTTACTGATTGGAAGAAGTTGTTTCATTTGAAATAATTATCAGCCTGTAAAAAAGGTAAAAAGAAGGATATCATTGATTGATATAGATTCACTTTTGTTTTAGATGATGTTAATGTTTAGTTAGTTCATGATATTTTTTAAATTTGTGCTTGATTCATTTGTGCTTGATATTTTAATAAGTTTATAATCCCACCTTTAGCCAATTTCTATTATCTTGATCCATTTGTTCTTAATTGTTCTGCAACTGTGTTTCTAGGACTTCAACTATAGCAAATAAGATGCGAAACAATTGGTCTAGTACTCTAGTACATGGCCAGAAACATTATATAGGTTAGTAACAAGCTTTGATAAAACCTTGGAAATCAATCATTTGATGATAAACTATGAATTTATTCCTTTAAGTAATAACATGAAGCAATTTAGCTGAAGGTTTTTACCAACTGTATATTCCTCTTCGGCTCTTCCCCTGCATTAAACAAAGGGAGTATGTCTGAAAATTTTGGATTTACAACACTAGAATCACTTGAATATAACGCTAGAAACAGAAGAAATTTTCGCTGTCATATTTAATTTCATGGAGGAAATACTTCATTATTATTCAATTTTAAGATTTCTTTCTCAAAATAAAAAGGATATTTTTGCTTTTGATTCATGAATTTTATAGAGTAATTGGTGTTGATCGTGTTGTTTTAATCGGGTTTTGGGCGGATTTTGGGTAGATTTATATTCTCGATTTGGATAAGTGTTGAGCGATTTTTTCTTAATTATCAATGGTTTCATAATTACTTATTAGATTTCTGTAAAATAAAATTCAATTTTTGGGCTTTTCTTTTAGTTAAGTTCTGATTTCCATTGAAGCGGAAAATGGAGCAGCAATCTTTGGTGCAATCTCAATAATCATGCTATCTACGGCTACTATTTATGCCGCATGCAGACCTGACAACATCACCCCTTTGAGTAGGATGGGTTAGTACCAGTTTGTTTGTTTTCTCTCTCTTCTCTTCTTTCTAATTACTAGCTTTTTTAATTGCTTATTAATTGTATTTGAGGGCTGTTTGGCATGTTATAGTTGGTCTTAATTTATCTATTTTTTTTTTTTTTTGCTATTAATCGAGAGCTGATTTCATGCCCCCCCTTTTTATGTATACTTTTTTTTTCCTGGTGTTTGTTTGATTAATCAATCTAATTTCTTAATTTTAACAAGTTGGGTGATGAATTTTTAACTTTGCTTATTTGAATGTTACATAGGTTTTGATTCCTATTCTGAAACCAACTGGATACACTATTGCAAATCATAATAAAATGTAATTTTAATCTCACCTTAATTTAATGCTTTTTTTATATATACCTATTTTATGTTTCTTGAGTTTGTTTGCTATGAGCATTGTTTTAGAAAGTAGGATTTTGGTGATGAGTTTGATTGGTATGTTTAAGTGCAATTAAGCCATTTTCTTTCAAGTAGTTGTAGAATTGGATTCTATGAGCGAAAACAAGCAGATATATAAATTGTTATAAAGGTTTTGGTGAGGCCAAATTAGTGAATTATATTCTAATTTGACACCAAGACATTTAATTATCAGCAAATCAGCTGTAGAAATTAAGTTAACAACCTAGCTAGTAGGCAAGAGGCAGTAAGATGGCGAAGACTTGATTGTGTGGGTAGCCTGCACACACTTAAAAAGTCTAAAGTTGGGATGAATATCAAGCTCATAGATGAATTTATGTGGTTTAGATGTTAAAAAATTGTTATTTGCCTATTTGGTAATTCATTTTAAAATTGTTATTTGGTAATTGCTTTAAAAATTCTTTAAGTTCTTTTAAAATTGTGATCTAAGTAGATATATTCGAACCGTTCCTTCTCTATTCATGTCCGCATTTCGTGTAGATTTTTAGTTTAAATGCACTAATATTAACATGCACAGAGATGCAGAGGGTCTAAAAACAAATCATCTTGGGAATGATTCTTGTTGCTTTTTTCCTTTTACTTTATAGGCAAGTATGTCAGGGTTGTATATTGAAGGAGTGATCTAGCATTGGAATTTTGCATGTTAATGCCTGCACATGGTGTTAAATAATTTTGCAATGTATTTATATGCAATATGCATGCATATGATACTATACTTGTGCAGCATGTTGGAGTCACTTAGTTACACTCTGATTTTTCTCTTTGTAAATTATTCTCTTTGGAGAATTATGTACCCTCATGGTGAAACATAATCTAGGTGTTATTGAACATTACAGCTTAAATATTTGCAGGCCCTAGTCTCTATATAGATACCCAGAGGTACTCGGAGGATCCGTAAGCTAATGGATATTGGTTTGCATTTCTCGTGTTTTGACAAAGATATATACTAAGGTAGTACAGTTAATTAAATTTCGCAGAATAAAAATGCCAGAAGGATTAGTTTTGGCTCACTTTGTTTAACTATGGTCAGTTATGGAGTGCAAAAAAGAAGAGGCCTTGAGGGCAAAGGATATTGCTCTGAAGAAACTGAAAGCAAAAAAAATACTAGCATTGAAGGTGCATTCAAGTTGATTGGAAAGGCTCGGTTGGTATCGTTTGTGGACGAACTCTGAACAACTATAATAGTCGAACACAATATTTTCTGTTTGTTGCTGACTCTTGCCATCCACTGTTGTTTGCTACTGCTGTTTGTTGCTACATGATGTTTGCTAGAAGCTTCTGTTGCTGCTATTGCCGTTATGCTAGTTTTTTGTTTATTATTTTCTCACTTTTTTTTAGCTAGAGATCGAACTTGATTTTGTTTTTGTTTGGATTATTATCTTGTTTGGCCAAACATTAAAATTGTTGTTGGATTTTTTTTAAAGAATTATGAAATTATTTCAATCCAAATTATTATCTGTCATATATGTTAGTTTTTTTTTTTTTTTCAAAAAAATATATGTTAGTTTTTTTATTCATAATTGTTAATATTATTTTTATATTTTAAAAAATAAAAATAATAAATGATACCTATTAATTAATAAGGTGTTACATTAGTTTGCAAAAAGTGATACATGATGTTGAATAAAGTGTTATTATATGTCAAAAGATGATTGAAAAATGCTACCTAATAAGCAATAAATGGTTACGCTAGTTTAAAAAGTAATATATAATGTCAGATAAAGTGATACTTTATAATTGAAAAATGTTATTTAAGATAAGTAAGTGTTACCTAGGAAATAAAAAGTAACACTTTAAATATGATACTAATAATGTAAAAAAAGTTCCATAAAGTGGTTTATAGTATCACTATTGAAAGTGTTACCATATATTATCCAAAGTATTACGTAAGACATTAGGGAACATGGGCAGAAGTATCACTCAATAAAGTGTTACCTATTATCTATAATAACACTTTTACCACTGTATGTAACATTTTTTGGGTGTTACTTGAAGTTAGTTTTTGTAATAGTGAATAGAAAGCAAACAAATAAAATCTCCAAACCAAACGCTCGGACCCATCATCCTCTTCTTCTCCTTTCGTGGCTTCTCTTAACTTAATCACACCACCATCATCACCCGCAAATCTTCCATCATCAAATCAGTACCATTAGCAATTTTTCGGCAAATAATCTTGACCACTCGATCTTATTAATTATCACGTGAGAAGCTTGTGATATGGCTTTTTTCACACCCAGAAGACCGCGCCCGTGGTGGTTCAGGCCGCGCCCTCTCCAGAGTCGCCGCGCCCGTGAAGAGACCGCGGCACACCCGCGACACCTTCCTGCCACATATTGGTAGATTTGGTGCAGCGAGCCCCGCGTCCGCTCCTCTCACACCCGCGCCCGCGAGGAATTCAAATTGAATTGGGGCTAGCTTGAGTTCGATTGGTGGAAGCTCAAGGTGGGCTTTGATTACAGTGGTTCTTAATTGAGTCAGAGCTATTTTAGTGCGGTGGAGAAGGGTGGTTGCGGTAGATGGTTTGGTTTGGTTTAATTGGTGAAGGAGGCAATAGTAGCAGTGCGGGGCTGTTGTTGTTGCGGTTTGTACGGAGACAAGAGGAGCTGCGGTGGCTGCTTGATGGTGAAGAGGCGCAGCAGGCCGCGATTGGTGGTAATGCAGTGCCGGTGGGTGATAGTGGTGCGGGTGCTCTATTTGTTGGTTGCTAGGTGGTGCGGCTGTAGTGTTGACTGGGAGCAGGGGAGCTTGGTGTAGTGAAGGATATGTTGGCAGCAAGGGTGATGTGTAGGAGACTAGGAGACAACAACATGCTTCATGAAAGTTGACATTCGATTCTAACTCAAAAGTTGTATTCACTTGACATGAACCCAAAGTCGAACTCATACCTACACACAATACCGAGGAAAGGATCGGAACATAATAAAATAATAAATACAATAGAAATAATTAAAATAAAATAGAAAATAAAATAAATAAAACTAAAACTGTGAATTAAGGACTAAAATCATGAAAAACTAATCAAAACCCAAAATGTGTTATTAAAATGGAAAAGCAAGGAAAACTAAGAAAATTATATGAAAATAAAGAAAGAAAATATAGAAAAATAACCTAAATCTTATTCTTTTGAGCGCTATAAATGACGCTCATCAGTCTTGTGACTTATGGCAAACTCCATCCTAAAACAATAGAAGGAGAAGTTCTCAACTATTTTCCAGACATGCTCATTAAAGCTCTAGGGGATATAGTCAATTTGAGGGTTGCGAAAAGCATCAAGAGTAACTATGATGGTCTCGTGGAAGCAATGACTAGTTCACTCTCTAACATGTAGATTAAGCCACCGCAAGAGGGTTGCCTCACCAAAAAGAGGCAAGAAGTATGGGCTAAGGTCTACAATACTAGACTTAGACTCGGAATGCCACTTAAAGCCCATGTGCTCCGGATGACGAGGTTATTCATTCACTTACAACTCATTGGCAAGCCGATGGAGGATGAGCAAGCGGCTCATATGCTACTAAGCTCACTCCACTCAGGCTATGTTTCATTAAAAATGCAGTGGAAATCCAATCGGAACAAACTTTCTTTGATGGAGGTTATCCATGAGCTTCAAATAGCCGATTCTTTCAAGGGTGCTAAGCTTGCTCTAAGGCCCAAGAAGAGGGAGTTCAAGAACAAGGCAAAGATGCGATGCTTCTACTGTAGTAGGTAGGGCCACTACAAGAGAGAATGTAGCATGTACCTAAAATATGAGGCAAAGGGAAGAGTAGCCTCTACCTCAGGTATCTTCTTTATAAACTAACACTTGAATACAAGAAATTCATAAGGTACTAGATACCATAAATGACTTACTATATGCTCCTATTTCAGGAACCAAGTGAGAAGAGCTTAGCAAGTAGATGTGGATGTACAAGCGGAAGAAGAAGACAATCTTTCCAGGAAGCTAGTAATCACATAGTTTGTCTTAGAATAGAACTTGTTTAGTTTTATTATCGACCATACATTGATCTTCCGACGTTGGACGTAATTTTTGTTTTGATCATAGGACTATTGTTACAAAAGTCTTGTTTATATGTTTTATGGCATGACACATTTATCCAAATGTGTGCTTTTGTTAGACTGTAGACACCCATTTGTGTCTCCCCAAAACTAGACCCGGTGATGAGTACCTTTCACGTCGAATCATAATCGAATGAAGTGAAAGTGTGGAAAGTTTAGTGTTGTGGATAGTTTTAATTTCTTTTCTTTTCTCTCTGTTTTTGAAAACCTATTTTAAGAAAACAGCCAATCCAGTTTTGTTGGTCCATGATATGGGTCCAATAATAGTGTAGTTGGATGGGGCTTGGAAAGAGCTTTACAACGATATATTATAAGCCCAATTCCGATGAATAATGAGGAAGTTATGGCCAAATTACTAAACTAGGCCCGGTTTGAGCCTTATATGCGGCCCAATGATCTAGAGGAGGGCTTAAAATGGATTTGTCATTCCTAATGCAATTAGGAATGATTTTAGTCTTATAGATTCTTCTAGAAGGTTCTTTTCATTCCTAATTCCTTTAGCATTGATAAATTGACTTTTGTTGACTTTTTAGAGTTTTAATCAGAATAAAAGAGTGTTTTTAAGGAAAATACAATTTTGTCCTTCTGTACGGCTAAATTTTATCTGAATTTAGAAAACGCGTGAAAAATTTAACAAGCGCCTAACGCCAGACATTAGCGCCTGAGGTGCGTAGTGAGCCCATTCCTTCTCGTACCCGTACGAGACCTGAGGTGCGGACGACTTCCCTTTACCACAAATCGATATTCTGGTAGATAACACAGCGAATCATGCACTTCTCTCGTTCATGGATGGATACGTGGGCTATAACCAGATTCTCATGGCAGATGAATACATGGAGAAAACAACCTTCATAACACCATGGGGTACTTACTGCTACACGGTAATGCCATTCGTGTTGAAAAACGCGGGTGCTACTTACCAACGAGCAACGACTGACTTGCTCCATGACATGATGCATAAAGAAGTTGAAGTATATGTAGACGATATGATTGTGAAATCAAAAGATCGCCCAGGCCATCAAATAGCCTTGAGAAAATTCTTCGAAAGGCTGAGAAAATACAACATGAGGTTGAATCCATCCAAGTGTGCTTTTGGAGTCACCTCAGGCAAGCTTTTGGGTTATGTCATAAGCTCTAGAGGAATAGAGATAGACCCAACCAAGATCAAGGCAATCATGTCAATGCCACCGCCCAAAACCGAGAAGCAAATTCGAGGATTTATTGGCCGGTTGCAATACATAAGCAGGTTCATATCAAAATTGACAACAATATGTGAACCAATTTTCAAAAATCTAAAAAAGAATGTACCAGTAATATGGGATGACGAGTGTCAAAAAGCCTTTGAAAAGATCAAATCCTATCTCGCAAATCCTCCCGTATTAGCATCAACACTTCCGGGAATACCTCTTAGGTTGTACTTAACAATCACCAAAGAGACAATGGGAGCCATGTTAGCGCAAGAAGTAGAAGGCAAAGAAAACACAATTTACTATCTAAGCAAAAAGATGCTCGAGTATGAAGTACGCAATACACCACTTGAGAAATTGTGCCTCGCTTTAGTGTGGACCACAATCAAGTTAAGACATTACATGCTCGTGCATATATACAGTCTTTGTAGTTTCGAGAAATATTTATTCGAGAAATCTACAATCAATGGGCGCATATCAAGATTGATAGTCAACTTAGCCCAATTTGACGTAAGATTCATGCCCCAAAAAGATATAAAAGGATCTGTGGTTTCGTATTTTCTAGCAGACTTTCCAATAGAAGATTCAATGCCAATACGCGATAATGAATTTCCAGATGAAGACTTGATGGTCACCGAGGACGATACTTGGACCTTATACTTTGACGGAGCCTCAAACCAAAAGGGATGTGGCGTTGGAGTATTACTAGTGTCACCTAAAGAAGGGCATATTCCAATCTCCATAAAGCTTGATTTCGACGTTACCAACAACGCTGTTGAATACGAAGCATGCGTGGTAGGCCTTGAAACAACTTTGGCATTGGAAGTGAAAAAATTACGGATATTCGGAGACTCTTCGTTGATTATCAATCAAATCTCTAAAACATGGAAAGTAAGGAGCGAAAGTCTAGCCCCTTACCAAACTTATCTGGAAACTCTCACTAATCAGTTAGAGAAGGTGGAATACACGTATCTACCTAGAGAAGAAAATGAATTTGCTGATGCCTTGGCAAGACTAGCCTCAATGGTTAGGATTCCTACGGAAATCAAGCAAATGCCTCTAACTATAGTAAAAAAAAGGCACAAACCAGCCTATATTCAAGCTATAGAAGATGATGAAGTGAACCAAGATGAAGAAGTAGAAGAATAAGAACCATGGTATACAAATATACTCAACTATGTCACCAAAGGAGAATACCCTCCCCATGCCGACAAAAGAGCAA